GTGTGTATGGATTGGGATAACAGTTGTATGAGCCCCTAATAAAATGTTAAAAAAGAAAGAAAAAAAAAAGATTAAAAAGTTATTTAAAAAAAAAAAAAAGAGTTACAGTCTCAGGACCCCACAGGGACAGTTCCACCCTTTCCTAAAGCGTCACTATGAGTTGTGTGGTCTTGACTGCAGTGAGTGAATGACTCTCCCTAGAGCGTGAGTGTTTATAATGGGTAGCACTGTAACAACTTTTGGAAACTATTTGGAGTTCTGCAAGGTTGGTGGTTCAAATCCACCAGCTGCTCCTTGGGAGAATCATGAGGCTGTCTGCTGTGGTCAAGATTCACAGCCTTAGAAACCATATAAAGAATTGCTGTGAGTCGGAGTCAACTTGGTGGCAGTGAATTTGGGTTTTGATGGCTACTTTGTGCGTAGCACATGCCACGATAGTGATTTCGTGGATTTGGAAACGAATATATGGACTGAAGGTTAAGAACTTAATAAGGTCGCCGTGAGTTAGAGCTGCGGGCACTGGACGTGGGGATTTTGTGGGCGGTATCTGGAGCCCCTGGATAATCCAATGATGAGGCTCTGGGCTGCTACTGAAAGGTTGGAGTTTCGAGACCACTCAGATGCCTCTGGTGGAAGACTTAGCACGTGGTGCTGAGACAGCAGCCATTTGCACACCCTGTGGGACATAGGTAGGTTCTTGACATGCAACTGGGGGGTTGGCTCGGTATCAGCTCCATGATACTCACTCCTCCACCGAGTGCCGTGGACTCAGCACCGCATAGGACAGGGTAGACTGCCCCTGTGAGGTTCCGAGACTGGGAGCCGCTGGTAGTTCCAAACTGCTAACCTTGTGGTAAACAGCCCAACCTGTAACCACTACAGCACCCAGGGCTCCTAACTGTGATGCTAGTGTGAAGTATTATTTGGGCTTAAAGGGTTAGTATCCATACCCACTATCAGGGGTGAGCTGTTCAGGACCCAAGTAGATCCTTTTGAGAATCTGCAGAAAGGTGTAGGTGTTCCTGTTTAAAAACAGACTAACGCACACGTGGGAGCCCTGGTAGTGCTGTGAGATCAGCATTGGGCTGCTATCGCAAAGGTCAGCAGTTCAAACCCAGCAGCCATTCTGAGGGTGAAAGGTGAGGCTGTCTGCTCCCATAGAGATGTACGGTCTCGGAAACCATATACTGGCTGCTGTCATTTGGAATGGACTCGATGGCTGTGGGTGTAGGGTTTGAGGCATGCATGATGTGTACCCAAGGCCATTTTAGGGATCTGATGGAGTTTGAGACTGAGGGTTGCGAACGTGTTAACTTTGACTTGCTTTGTGATTTTCCCACGTAAAGCCTTCAGTGTGCTTCACGAGGAACCCTGGGATCTGCGACTGTCACTGACTCGCTTTTCAGACCTGGAGCTCCAGATCCTTCTTCCTCGTCCACCGCAGTCTGCAAGCTCTTCTGAAATGTGCCCAGCATAAAGCCTTCTCTGGAAGTTGGGTGGTGGGGAAGCTAGGGAGTGTATTGGCCAGGAACTAAACCGGGGTGTTCTGCACGGAAAGTGAGAATTCCACCGCCAGACCACCCCCGCTCCCCCAAAACCAGACTCCCTGCCTTCGAGTTGATGCTGACTCATGGTAACTACAGGACAAGGTAGAATTGCCTCTGCGTTTCCGAGACGCTAACTCTTCACAGGAGCAGAAAGCCTCATCTTTCACCCACACAGCCGCTGGTGGTTTCGAACTGCTGACCGCAAGGTGGTCATGAGGGCTTCTGAATAAACTAATGACCGACAGGTCCTGAAATATATTAGCCGAAAAAGCCATCAAACCAAATTAAACTCACTGCCATTGAGTCAATTCCAAATCATAACGATCCTACAGGACAGGCTAGAACTGCCCCTGTGGGTTTCTGAGACTAACTGTACAGTAGGAGAAAGCCTCATCTTGTCCCGTGGTTTCAAACAAGTGACCTCGTGGTTAGCTGCCCAACTTGTGACCCGCCCGGCCACCAGGAATCCTCAGTAAAAATGACAGACTCAGTAATGGACTACGGTTAACGGTTCTTTTTCCTTCTGCACTGGTGAGGCTATGTCTGGAGTATTGGCCGCCCTTCTGAAAGGACATAGCACAGTGGAGTCTGTTAAGATACAAGAGACCAGGGTAATGAACTGAGGTTTGCTGAGTGACAGAATGCTCAGGCTGAAGAGGGAGGAGACAGGGAGTCAGAGCAGCTGCAGGAGTGGGAGTGGAGGCCGAACATCGACCATCACATAACTTGCAAGGCTGCACTGATGTGAAATCACACTTGAGCGCTGGCCCCTTGTGGTTCCATACAGACCCAGGGGGGGCTGTAGAGACACCAGCGGGGACTGGTTGTGGTCTTAGTAAGGAAGGACTTCTGAAAGTCCAATGGGATGTGCATGTCAGGCTTATTTCTTTACTCTTCTAAGCAACCATCATCTTTTTGTAACTGTATTCTTATGATCAAACAGCTCTGTGAACCTTTTCTTACACATCACCTGCCTGTCTTATCTCTCTTCTCTCTGCCTCCCCCTCCTTCCTTCTTTTTCCCTTCCTTTCTCTTCCCCCTCTGAACGCCCCGTTTGATTTGTGGTGAAGGGTGCAAGAGGAGGTGTAACAAACAAACAAAAAGTCAACCTGGGACTTGGCTTTTTTCCTTCTGTTTGCTTTTCAGTCCTTATAACCAGGGACAAATCTTGAGTGGCCTTCTGACAACCTGAGTCCTACTTGGTGGCCACCCCCGACATTTGCCTTGGAGACGCAGCTAGTGTGGCTGAAGAGGCCTAGCCCAGCTCCTTCACGTCCAGAGCATTCCCCTGTGTGATCTGCCAAAGTCTTTAAGTGTCTTAGAAAAAGCTTTCAGATCCTCAAGTTATCACTATTTTTTAAACCTATCTAACCTCTTTTCTTTCTTCTTTTCCTCCTCTCCGTAGAGGTGCTTGCTCGTGGACCCTTCTGCTCACCATGGCACAAAGAACTGGCCTGGAAGACCCCGAGAGGTATCTCTTTGTGGACAGGGCGGTCATCTACAACCCTGCCACCCAAGCCGACTGGACGGCTAAGAAGTTGATGTGGATCCCATCAGAGCGCCATGGCTTCGAGGCGGCGAGCATCAAAGAAGAGCGGGGGGATGAGGTTATGGTGGAGCTGGCTGAGAACGGCAAGAAGGCCATGGTCAACAAGGATGACATTCAGAAGATGAATCCCCCCAAGTTCTCCAAAGTGGAGGACATGGCAGAGCTGACCTGCTTGAACGAGGCGTCCGTCCTGCATAACCTGAAGGATCGCTACTATTCAGGACTCATCTATGTGAGTACTCCCGTGAAAGGACCGCGGGAAGCGATGACTCGGAATGAACGGAATTGATGGCCGATCTCCGACGCGAGCGTGGCAGTACCCGCGCTCTGGTTAGCCTTGTTGTCTGTCCTGCAGGTGTGTCAGATTCTCGCTTGCCTGAGCCTTGCTCTGCGCTAAGTCTGCACCCATTCTTTTGGTTCACCCCATCGGCCATCCAGTCTGGTGCTTAAGGATTTACAGACGTGCCCTGGCAAGTAGCCAGGTGGGAGCAAGCACGTGGCCGAGAGATCGGGGAGTTTATGTAGTCCTAAAAGGCAGAGAGCAAAGCACCAAGACTATAGGTGATACAGGTGTCTGTCCAGGAGTATGCGGTGGACGGACTGCAAGCTTGGAGGCTCCATCACAGAGGAAGAAGGATTTCCTCGGGTATGGGGAGCTGGGAAAGATAAGCCCTGAGGTTTCTAAGAGGAAACGACCAAGGGTGAGGTTGATGCTTGGGGGTTTCCCTTGTGGTTAACAGCTGAGGATGCCACTTACCATATAGGAGTTACTGAGGATAGTAAGAGATCAGATCGAGAGGAAAAAAGCAAGCCAGATACTGGTGGTGTGATGGTGGGGAACTGGAACTATAATAGAGATCTGGGGATGGGAGCCAAAGGTGACAGTGTCTTACAGTGAAGAGAAGCGGAGAGAAAAGCTGAGCGACTTAGTCTGGAGTTGGGAAAGGCGGTTGATGGTTATGCAAGGAGTGTGTTAACAGAATTGTTACAGAGTAACCTAGATTGCCCACAAGGAGCCCTGTGGTGTAGTATTTACCGAGCACCTGCCTGGATGGGAACAAAATGGGCAGGGCCCTGCAAGCATCAGTTGGAGGACTTTAGAAACAGCTACATCCTGTAGGAAGGGGAGCGGGCCCGTGGGATGAAGAGAACGTCTCTCCACAGGGGCCAGTGAGGACCTCTTTGAGGCGAGTGTGGTTTGGGATTCCGCTCGTAGGAGACAGCTCTTGCTGGGCATGGCCCAATCGATGCTCAATTGTCGCCGTCCCAGGTGCTGGTATAACAGGGTACAACTGCTACACAGTACTTCCTCGGTTGTCATCTCTATGGAAGGAGCCCTGGTGGTGCTGCAGGTCAAGCGTTGGGCGGCCGAGAGGCCAGCATTTTGAACCTGTCAGCCGCGCTGTGGGACAAAGATGAGGCAGACTGCTTCCGTAAAGACTTACAGCCTTGGGCACCCTAGGGAGCAAGCAGTTCTGTACTGTCCTGTAGGGTTGCTATGCGTCAGAACCCACGTGATACAATGGGTTTGGGTTATTTATTTATTTTTTAAGTCTTTATAGGGGCTGATCACAGCATCTTTTAACTTTTGGAGTGGCTGGTGGGTTCAAACCGCTGACCTGGCAGCTGAACACTGAATCATTGTGCCACGGGGCTGCTTTAGGAAAGAGTTGGCGATGGAAAACCCTGAAAAAGGCAAAGTTTGTTTGGTGACTTTTGTTAGGGAAGTGTGATGGTCCCTTCCATCCTTCCCTCCATCCATCCCTCCATCCATCCCGCTCCTCTATCTACCTATTTGTGAAATAGAGTGCAAAGAGTTAAGAGGCATCCGGGTTGAAAGGGTCGCCTGATGAGCATGGCAGAGGTCTGGAAAAGAGGGGGAAGCCAAGGAATCAGGGGAAGACTGGGGAGCAGTGCTGGCCAAGTCCAGCTGCCCCTAAATGGCAGGGGTGTGATGTTTGCCAGATGATGGGAATGCCCATGAAGAGTCGCCAGGTCAGTGGAGGCAGGGAGACTTGGCTCACTCTTTGTTTCTGGTGCTGGCCCAGTGCCTGGCATACACATGAATGTCCTTTTCCCTTCTTCTCACCAAAAAGCCGAAGGGGGTGAGGGAGGGTCGTTCAGTGGTTCCCTCGGTAGTCTAGGCTGCCAGGTGTAGAAGCCTGGGCAGGAGGGAGCTGGCGGATCAAGGATGGCATAGAATGGAGTAAAGGAGTGAGAAGCTGGGAAGGGAAGAGTTGTCAGATTTTAATGCTGGCAGCTAAGCTGGGGGGACTATACTAAATACATGTTTGATGTGTACCCCTTAACCATCGCAGAACATCAGTAGTGAGCCCCACCCCAAGGCTCAGTTGTGGATTATGCATGGTGTAGTCCAGTTTGAAAGCAGGAACATTAGAGACGCATTTTCTGAAATCCTAGCCCTGGAGGACAAGTCTTTGCTAATCCCTGAGCCTCGATGCGAAGTCTGTCTAGAGCACTTTCGCTGCGTCGTGGAGCAGGAGGGACCATCAGGAGTCCCTTGAGGGAAAAGTGTGCGTGTAGTTCTTTGAGTTGCAGGTTAAACTTATTTTTATTTGACAGACTGATGGTTTAACTCAGGTAGTTGGTAGACTGGTTACAAGTTGGGTTGTGATCCTCAAGGTCAGCAGTTCAAAAGCATCAGCTGTCCAGAGGGAGAAAGACCGGTCTTTCTACTCCCATTAACGGTTACCATCTTGGAAACTCACAAGGGCAGTTCTGTCCTGCCCTGCAGGGTCACGATGGGTCACCCATGACAGTGAGTTTGGGTTAGGCTCCGTGCTTGAAAGAAGAGTACCTCAGGTGGTGCAAACAGTTAACACGATTCACTGCTAAATCAAGGGTTGGCGGCTTGAATCCATCCCATGGGTACCTCCAAAGAAAGACGGACTTCTGAAAAGTCAGCCATTGAAAACCTCTTTGGAGGACAATTAGTTTACCCTTGATTTTTTATTTTATTTTGGTACTCTTGACACATTGGCACCAAGAATCAGAATTGATTGAATGGCAATTGGTACTGGTTACGCCCCCACCCTCAACTCCTTTTCAACTTTTATTTCGTTTTCACTTTTAAAAAAAATCATTTTATTGGAGGCTCATACAACTCTTATCACAATCCATATTTCCTTCCATTGTGTTGAGCACATTTGTACATTTGTTGCCCTCATCATTCTCAAAACATTTGCTTTCTACTTGAGCCCTTGGTATCACCTCCTCATTTTTCCCCTTCCTCCCCACCCTCTCCCTCACAAATCCTTGATAATTTATAAATGATTATTTTGTCGTATCTTACTCTGTCCGACGTCTCCCTTTACCCACTCTTCTGTTATCCATCCCCCAGGGAGGGGGTTATATGTAGATCATTGTGATTGGTTCCCCCTATCTCTCTCACCTTCCCCTTATCCCTCCTGGTCAGTTTTTCATTGTGAAGGTTTACAGAGCACTGGTTCTTGAACGTTTAAAAAAAAAAAAAAAAAAAGTAAGCCCATCACTTCAAGCACTGGACCAGCATGTTACCAGTGAGTTATATAAGGCTCTAACTCCCACCATACAACCTTTTCTTGCATCCATCAGGTAGGAAGGTGGGGAAAGATACTGAGAAAATTCACCCGTGAGTAATTGTGAACAGGCTTACCTGGAATGCCCTTCTGCTACATATAAAACAAGCCTCTGAGATGCAGTAGGAAGGAGCTCATTATCAGCAAGAGCCAGGAGTGGAGCTCACCCTCTGGATCAGAGATCCCTGCTCAGTGGACCTTCTGAATCCCAAAGACAGCTTGAATATCCAAGGAGCAGCAGCCGGACCAAGAGCCACAGCATGGAACAGTGACGGACTTCCCGATGCACGGAGCAAGTAAAGCAGAGTGCTTTTATGGACATCTTTATGGGAGCAAATAGATTTACCTTTCTTCCACAGAGTGGCCAGCAGGTTTGAACCGCCAACCTTGTGGTTAGCAGTCCAGTCCTTACTTGACAGCACCACTCATGCTCCTTCAGCTGTAGAAACAAGTGTGGAATTTGAGTGATCATAAATGTGTATCTTTCACTCATTCCTCAACTTTCCTAGGTAATGCTTGATTTAGCTGGAGTCCCAGCAGGTAACAGATGGCCCTCAAATCTGAGAGTTTAATAAATGATTTACAAACGTGGGCAGGATTTTTTTAAAAACATAAGGGATACAGCAGTGCCCCAAGGCTGGTTATGTCTGAGAGCCCTCGATACACCATGGCCTTTACAGTAACGGGGAAGAGCTGTGACCTCCACTTGGTGAGGACCTCTGTGTGGTTGTTGATAATGGCCATGGAGTCAGTTCTGACTCACAGTGACCCCACTGCTCCATAGGGTTCTCTTAAGATTGTGACCTTGCAGAAGCCTTGGCGTGGCTGCCAAGGTTGGTACCTTTGAGTGGTTTTGTTTGACCTGCTAACCTTTTGGTTAGTAGTTGAGTACTTAACTGTTCCCACCGCTCCTACAGAGGGTTACCTGATAGGCATTGGCAGTAGTGATTCGATGGTAGAATCCTCGCCTTCCACTGGGGCGAACTGGGTGCGACACCCAGCCAGTGGACCTCACGTGCAGCCGTCAACCCATCTATCAGGGGAGGTGTGCATGTTACTATGGTGCTGAGCTACAACAGTGGGTGCAGAAGAAAGGCCTGGCCAGCTACTTCCAAAAATCAGTCAGTGAGGACCTTGTAGATGGAACAGCCCAGTAATCCACAGCTGGTCATGGGAATGGCATAGGACCAGACAGTCTTTCATCCTGTTGTCATGGGATCCCCATGAGCCGGTGCCCCTTACCACCACCTCTGAACCGTGGCCTTCCTTAGATGCAGATAACGGGCTAGAGTCTGCCAAATAAATACCACCACCTCCCACCCTCAGTCGCTGCTTGCAGTCTGAAGCCAGACGGGGCAGGGACTTGATGATAGAGCTTAGGGTCAGTTGCAGTCTCAAGTGGAAAGGAATTTTTGTTACATGGTAAGAAGTAAGGTCAAGATTAGAGCCCTGGTGGTGTGGTGGTACAGGTGGGGCAGCTAAGCTCAGAGTAGTTCAAAATTACCCGCCACTCCCGGGGGGAGCAATCTGAGGACGAGGTTCCACTCTCGTGAAGATTGATTCGGCTGCTGTGCTCGGATATTCAAGCGGGCTTTGGGATTCAGAAGGTCCACTGAGCAGGGATCTCGGGTCCAAAGGATGCGCTCCACTCCTG